CTGATTCAACCTGAGGCATTGGATATGAGCCGCATGGTTCGGGTAAGGTGTGTGCACGGGGACGTAACCATTAATGTCAGCTGTGATTCAATTTAGGGGTCAAAAGCATAGGATAGAGGTGGCAGTTAACCCGCACCTCCGGCATCCGCTGATCCTGGGAACAAATTGGCCAGCTTTTAGTGAGTTATTGAGGGGTTTATGTGCGGATGTCTCTTGTGTACAGAAAGCGCAGGATCGAGGGGCGTCGGTGCGGATGGAGAGGAAGATTCAGGTGCTAGATTCAGGGGAACCGAGCGCAAACGAGAGACAGATTCTCTCGGAGTGCGATGATTTTCTCCTGGAGCAGTCTCAAGATGAGACATTAAAACATGCCTTTGAACAGGTCCATACTATCGACGATCAGTCTCTCCAACCCAACCGTCCGGTCACCTATCCTTATTTTGCGATTATTAAAGATAGGTTGTACCGAGTGACGCAGGACACTCAGTCAAAGCAGATTACAACCCAATCTTCAGTGTCACGTGAACCTTCAGAAATGCTTTTCACTGCAACTGTACTTTCACACTATTTTATAAAAAAATGTTCATTGCTTGCTTATTTTATGGAAAGTGTATGAATAAGAGACCTTCAAGAGACCAACATTCGTGGTCCTTCACAGAATATCAAGTTTTTGCCATCAACTGCAACTGTGGAGAGATCCTTTTCAAAAATTAGGTTAATACCAACTCCGAAGCCTTTGCTCAGAGGAGAGACTCTCAGACCTTCTTAAGGAGACTGGTCTGAGACTCTCAGACCAGTCATCTTCAAGCATGGCTCACAGAAGGTTTCTGTTGCAATTAGGTTCAAAAAAGCCCTGAAACCCTGTATATCTATATTATTATTATGGTTGTTATTAATAGTGAATAAATCTAAAGCTTTTGAGACTATTATTTTTTTTGGTAACACTTTACAATAAGGTTAATTAGTTAACAACCTTATTTAACATGAACTAAGAATGAACAATACTTATACAGCATTTATTAATCTTAGTTTATATTAATTCCAACATTTACTAATACATTATTAAAATCAAAGGTTGTATTTGTTAACATTAGTTAATGCACTGTGAACTAACATGAACATATGATGAACAGTTGTATTTTTATTAACTAGCGTTAACAAAGATTAACTAATACTGTAACAAATGTATTGATCATTGTTAGTTCATGTTAGTTAATGCATTAACTAGTGAACCTTATTGTAAAGTGTTACCATTTTTTTATTGAATTTGTCATGAAGATGTGACCATTTCCTCCTTTTATGTAGGCTTACTAAATAACCTTGATATTAAAAAAAAGGGAGGGGGGTGCCCTTTTTCAGTTTCAGCACATGCCCCTCAAAAGGTCTGTGCACGGCCCTGCATGCTGCTGACATATTATTGTAGCAGAGTTTGTGCTGAATACAGTGTAATCAGACTTTAGCCATGAAAATGTCACAAGTAACAGAAATAAGCACAAATGTCAGCATATCATAACACCTCCAGGGCCCAGAAAACACCAAAACAAATTGCAGTAGGCCCATATTTGCTTGTCTTTGTGCTACTGGAGCATTTGAAACTTGAAACGTCTGCTTTCATCGGTGTAATGGACTGTCTACAGAATGAGATAAAAACGAGCAAATGTAGTAACTCAATCCGTCATTTCCCTATCCCTGCATCAGGCTTCTCCTCCGCCCACCTGAAGGTCCCAATTCCTGGGATTGAGCAAGAACACCCGATTCCCGCAGTCATCAATGTGACATCCTGTACCATATCATTAATGTATGGAACTTCGATTAATGGAGGTATGAGGTAATACAGGTATCCTGCAGGCTTAGACTCATCTATAATCCAGTCTTCCCCACAAACATGAATATTTCATACAGAGTCTCTTTCACTGCTGACACCAAAGAAATATAAAGCCATGTAGAGTGCAGTACTGTCAAGTTCAGGACCGTGGGTCATTGCGGTGTGGTAGAGCCGAAAACTTTCTGATCAGTGATGCTGTCTGTATTATTCATAATGGTCATTCACTGTCTCCTGTCACACACACTTAGTACAGAATCAGAAAAGGATGGAACTTGTTTTTTTTTTTTTTTTACACCCCGCTACACTGGTCACACAAGCAATTTACATGTAATTTAAAATGTGCATTCATGCATCAGATGTTATTAAATCAAATATGTTGCTGGAGCTTTGCAAATACAAATAATGTAGTAAATAAAATAAAAATAAAAATCATTCAACAAGCAATTGTTACATAACATGCTGACATTGTGGGTTCACCGAGATGCAACAGGATAGAATTTGCAGGTCCAAGGAAACGATAGTGGTGGAAATGGCCAAGACCCCTTGGGAACATATTTTATTTTTATTTTTAAGATATAAATGCAGAAAAATCCCACTATATTTATGTATGTATTTTTTGGATAGCATTTGGAGGCTATTTCGTGGATAAAAGATGAAAATTGTTACAATTTTGAACTGGAACTCTATCCCCCCATGAAATTCACACCCTGGACTCAGTCCCAACCCCATTTTTTCAGCCCTGTATCATAATGCCATAATCAAGGGTGCATATGTTATAGTATCCTGAAAAAATATGAATTATGTCCATTAACCTGTTATCATAATGACAGGTTCAAGATTTTCTTGTCATGTCACTTTTTAAGGCACCTTTTTGACACGAATGCCAAAAATGTTCAGACCATTAAGGCAACATTAAACGGTCATTATCACACAACATTAAACACATAATAGACCGTTATCTTGCTCATCAGTGTGATTTCCTCACTGATGATGAGAGAATTACAAAGCTTGGCAAAGCTATTTACTGTACCAGTCATGTGCAACTAACAAAACAATGAAAATTGGAAAAAATAACAGACACAATAGAAACATATGATTATTGAACATAACAAGAATGTCTTTGGATGTAACAACCATTTTTTTTTACAGCAAGATTTTAAGAGGTTCAGAATGGTTAAACGAATTGGCCCGAAAGAAAGAAAGAGCAAAGAAAATATCTTAATATCAGTTATTTCTCCTAGACAGCAATAAGAAGACATGGAGAGCAAATGAAGACTACAGCTTCTCAGATGTTTCTTCTGAGAGAAAGATCAATCTCACTCTAGAGTTTCATAAGATATCTCAAACTAAAGTAAAACGTCCAGGATACCAAAGTCAGCTCTCAAAATTGAGAAATACATATATGAACTCAAAAACAAAATCTCACAACCTCTGATCAATTAAACTTTTCTCATGAGGAGTGTATTGGTGTGAGAGTTGACAGTTTGATTTGACAAAAATCGTGTACACTACTGTTCAAAAGTTTGGGGATCGACAACGCGTGATTGTCAACAAGTGGATCTTTGAACTGTGAGTGAGTGGAGGCGGGGATAATTTGCATATAAATAGAACCGCGTATACTAAATGAGGCAATGGTGTAGAGTTACATTCAAGCTATTTTAAGGCATGAAGAAAATTCTTTTCAAGGAAAAAACGCTTAAATATGTCATTTTGGTTATCAAAGATGAGTTTTAAGGGATACAATTATTGTCTACAGGGGGATTTTAATACATTTTAAAATTCAATTTATTCATGCGATGGCAAAGCTGAATTTTCAGGAGACATTTCCTTCAGAAATTAATTGTATATGCTGATTTGCTGCTCAAGAAACATTTCTTATTATCATCTTATTTTTATCAGCTGCTTACTATTTTTGTGGAAAAATCTATTTTTTATTATTAACATAAACTTCAAAAGAAAGTAACTTTACTTTCTTTACTTTACCCGATACGTTATTTTTAATGTATCTTAGGCACCCTTAATAAAAAAATTAAAAAAACACTTTTGAGTGGTAGTGTACGTTATCCAAGAGGCCATCTTAATTTAAAGTGTACAAAAGTACATTCTAAACGCAAATATTTCCAAATGACATCCAAACATATGTATTGCACAGAATTGCAAAAATACATTGTATCTGTATTTTCCTGTGAATGAATGTGTCAGTGACTTTGGCCTTAGCAGGGGTCAGATATGTTGACGTGGTGATTAACAGCACAACAGAACAAAGATTTACCGCAAACAAAGTCTCACCACAATGAGAACTAAAGCCAAAAAACCTGCCCATGTGGGGAGGAAACAGCTGAGAGGCAGTGGCTTTGTGACCATCTGTAATAACCAATGGCTAAACTTTGACGTTCAACTAATGCCAAAGGAGCCACCAGGCTTAATCAGTCTATCGCAGTGTCAAAATCCCTGCAGTGAAACATGGGCCGGGAGGTAGAAAGAGAGCCAAAATTGAGACGGAATTGGAAAGTGCTTTTTTAAGGCCACATCTGTAGTCCTCCCTGAGTAGCCTGGCGCTATAGTGGGATTTAAAGTTATAGTGACCTTTTCTTTGCAGTGATAAATAGTACATAACTCAGAGCTGATGTGAACGGTAACTTAATAGAGCGGAACTCTTTTATGATGAAGACTCCTCATAGCTGATCAACTGCAGCAGCAGAATTGAGGTGTATGTATTTTTTTCCACCAGTCCTATCAACTCCCATATAAAAACAGTCCAAATGTCAATTATTTGCGGGCAGACTGGTCTTCATCTTGGCGTGATGTGCATGGATAAACATGGACGATACAGTATATGACTGGTTGTGGTCATGTGGAGAAGTAATCATTGCCATATTTACAGGACATTGCAGACTATCAACCCAAGATGGCTAAAAAATTGTCCATCATTGGCTTTGTGTGGTTACGATGAACTACAACTGGTTTTCCACTGGACCATTACGCATTACCATTCTACTTTCTGAGTTAAAAACTTTGGGTAAAAACAATATTGCATTTGCAAAATGCTGACAGCAATAGTAAAGTGATCCTTTAGCAAAATTACTTTGCTGAAAAGGGGCTATCGATCTGTGATAATTAAACTGAACAAAATCCATCTGTTTTTCTTGTTTGCAATGCAATCATACGTGATAAATCAGTTGTCCATTATATATTTATGGTATACCCTCATGCTGTTCCACTGATACAGTTAGGTAATTAAAGTTTGGTAATAAAATCATTCATCCGCACTGGTTTTGACTCCAGGTTTAAATGTCTAACATTAATCTGCTGCTTAAAATATGGATTTTCGTGTGCAACTATGCAAGTAACAATCATTTAAGTGCTCTAAAATGAAAAAGGACCACAAATGGTTGACAAATGAGCTAGCAGTTTGAATTCAGTTTCTAGCAGATGCATTTGGCACATGCATTTCCAAGCAATTTCATTGCACTAAGAGCATTTTGGCTCTCACAAAAGCTAGCAAAAAGACAAATACTATAAAAATAACAAAGTGAAAGGTCATTCATTCAGTGAATGTGTAGACTAGATTAGTTAAATGTTTGTTTTTTAAATTTTAAGATGTTCAGCAGGTTCATTTAAGGCCCGTTCACTCTTCTTTGAACAGACTTGTTGTTTGGTAAGACGTGAAATAACTTGAAAAGAGAGATAAAAAACCTGAACTCAGGAAAAATATAATAAATATAAATATAAATACGCAGTGGGGTTTAAAAGACTGAGGCCAAAAGGAAAATCTGGGATCCAAAATCAAATCATTAAAGCTAGAATTTTTTTAAAATATTTTTTTAGGATTTTGAATACAATTAAAAACACATCATGATAAAACTAATACAAAACAATTTAAAATGTTGCTCTATTTCTAGGCCACTAATTTATGACAAAAGGTCAGATTATTTCCTCTCCTAATAAATCATTAGCATTTTTCAACTGAACTTTTTACTTTAATTGCCATGCTATAATAAAGCATTTGTAATAAACAAAGTAATTTAAATGATTGATAAATATATTATTTAATATCATTATTAAATTAGTAAGTTATATTAAATAAAAGAAAAACAGAATAGAAACATTTTCATAGTAGTCTAAGACTTTTGAACCCCACTGTGTATTTGTACAAAAAGAAATACTGAAAAAGTAAGAGCGTGTAGTTTTGTAGGTATGCAGCATGTAGTATGTCCTTGTTTAGGAGTGTTGATGACCATCATTATTGTAGTGAGTTCAGCCCAGTTTGATTCTCGTGTCCTGGCCGTAGAAGCCCACCTGGAGCAGAATGGCAATGTCAATTAAGATCTGTACCGCACCACAGACCAAGAACTGAGTGGGGCTTTCATTGATCACAAAATACGTGGTCTTAAAGATGTCACCAGCGGTCCACAGGAGCACCATCTTTATGCTGAAAAAGAGGGAGAGAGACAAAGAAAGAGAACATTTTACTGAAGCATTCAGAAATATATAAAGTCTCAGCAGTTGGAAAGATTCCCAGTCAGCTATAAAGTTCTGATAAATTAACCTCATTCGAAACCTTTTAAAGGCGTCACCAATACATCAGACTAATGCATCGTACAATGTCCTGTCCTCCCACTTGATAAAGTCATACATCTGTATATCTCACACATTTGCAAGTCTCTGAAGTCAATTGAGTACAGTGGGGCTACACTTAATAAGAATCTGAGGACGCAATTATTTCATATAAAATATAAAATTGTGAAGAGGTGAGGTAACACGTAGAGTCCAATGGTCTAACATCTGGTACGTAACAGCTCATAAAATCTAAAAAATAGATCCATTTGAGCATTTTATGCTGAAGAATTTACATTCTACAAATGTCAATTTCACTGTGTGAGGTTAAGCGACAGGAGGAACAGTGCATCCTGGGACATAACCTGCTCTTTATTAGTCAGAGAAGGACCGTACCACCTGCAGGAAGCTTGGGGGACCACAAAAGCACAATATTTTGCAAATGTCGATCCTCCTTCCTTTTTGAAAAGCAGAGAAAAGGTAATCTTTGAAAACTTCCAGGAATCAGCTAAAGTGTTCTCGGGCAAAGAGGGATGCTGCGTTCTCAGCGGAATTTATGCTGAATGAGTTCATTCTTTTCATTCAAGCTTAAAGAGAGAAAAGTGGTCTAAAGATGAGCAGAGACTATACATCAGCTGTCACAGATGGAGAGGGATGAGAATTTGGACTACTTGTGCTCCTGAAGGTCATCCCGACAATAGAAATGTGTCTTTTACACAATGTGAGGCAGCAGAAGCAGACAACTAATGAAATGGTACATTCTTCCAACTTGTCTACTTGATGATACAAACCCACCCATCTAGACATGACATTGACTATGATTATGTTCTTCCTTATTTTTTTTGTGCATTGTTTTGATATCACATGAAGATTGTGAATGAGGATGAAGGAACATTTGCTAGCAGGAAGTGCAATGTTTGCTAACACCAGTGTGAAATACAGTGCTAAAACGACCTTTTATAGACACTTCCTTAAAGTTTGTCCACAAAACACTCATAGTTGGTGCGAACTAAAAAGTACTATGTGATGTGGTTGTGAAAATGATAATAATGTATCCTGAAAGTTATACTTATATGAAATACTTTACATGAAATGGACATTTTCATAAATGAAAATCTCCATTAAAATGTCCTGTTTAAAGTGCTTTGAGAGAAAACGTGTCCTCTATATCTGATCTCAAAGTTACTCCCCACTCTTTTCTCCTCCTTCATTTGTCTTCTACATTAGTTTACTCTAGAGACCATTCTCAAACATCATTAATGGGGATGAAACATTAATGAGGTAATTAAGTAAGGTGGGTCATCTGTACAAGAGCACTGATAACAGTGGTGCCACACAATAAAAACCACTTAAAGGTTCTCCATCTTCCGCTCAGAGAACAGAAACTCATCTAATTGTTCCCAAACATTAATTCTAAGACAAACATGCTCTTTCTCATTCACAACAACAAACTGCTATCTTTCCTTCCCCTCCGAGCACTTTGCGGATTGACAGCAGATGAAAGGAATGCTCGGCAAACAGCGAGCAGCGCTTCAGGGCCTGTGAGAGAGGTAGAAGTGATTATTGCATTGATTAGGAGAACTGAGGCCACGGTTACAGCACTCCCGTCCACACTGAACAGCCCTGCACTCAACCCTGACAAGCCTTCAATTGATCCTCTTCCACCTGACACTCTCATCCGAAAGGAAGGAAGGAAGGAAGGAAGGAAGGAAGGAAGGAAGGAAGGAAGGAAGGAAGGAAGGAAGGAAGGAAGGAAGGAAGGAAGGAAGGAAGGAAGGAAGGAAAGAAAGAAAGAAATAGTGGACAATGTTAAATTCATAGGGAAAGGGAAAGAATGTTAGATAGAACAACAGAAAGAAGGATAGGATGATAGAATAAAATATGACAGATAGAATGATAGATTTTTTTTTGCTAGAACAACAGATGGACAGAATGATATGTAGGATGATAGAACAATGGAAAGAAAGACAGAATGATATAGAAACAGAATGATAAAACTATAGAAAGAATGGTACATGGAATGATAGACAGAATGACAAGAACAATATTTAGAACAAAAGATAGAACTATATGACAGAACTACAGTATATAGAATGATAGACAGATCGAGTGATAGAACAATACTATAGGGTTAGGGTTAGGAATAGGGGTTGGTTGCATATTACTACAGTAACTACATGTAACATGTAATAAGGACACAGTAAAATAGACAGAAAAATAGAATGATGGAATGAAAGAAAAAAGGCAAATGATATAAAAATAGAATGATATAACATTAGACTGATAGATAAAACAATAGAAAAAAAGAATGGTAAAACTGTATAGATAGAAGAACAATAGAAAGACAGAACAATAGCTAGAACGCCAGAATGATGGAATGATACATAGAACGATAGAAAGACAGAACAGCAGCAATCGAGACAGAATGATAGAATGAGAATGAACGACAGATATAGACAGACAGATAGATAAATAGACAGAATGTAAGATGATAGATGGATAGATAGATAGATAGATAGATAGATAGATAGATAGATAGATAGATAGATAGATAGATAGATAGATAGATAGATAGATAGATAGATAGATAGATAGATAGATAGATAGATAGATAGATAGATACTGATGAGAATTCAGTTTTGACAATTGCCAGAGATATCTAAGGAAGGGGCAACATCCTGAAGATCTGCTCCAGACAGATGTATCGACACACCGGGCTCTTTCTTCTGCACAGTCTCTCCGGTTTCTCTCTACTGAGTTTACATCGATGTAGGGATAAACCGTGACCAGCGAGAAGCCTCTGAAAGAGAGAAGGGCACCAAAGCTCCCACATAAAAACCCTCACTGAGTACAAATGCTCACAAAGGGAGTGAAGAGAGCCGATTAAACTAGTCCTGCTCTTCACCTATGGAAAGAAAAAGAACAGCTAAAACAAAACTTGAGAATCCTTTAGAGAAAGCTGCTGTAGGAACCATTCATGGGCTGGAGGAAAAGTGGGCTCGTCAAAACTTTGGCCAGTGAATTCAAAAGGCTGGTGAGAGAATTTAAAAAAAAAAAGAAGAAAGAAAATGAAATATGTATGTAGATCGATCCATTCGGCTCAAACATAGGAGAGTTTGCACATTTTCTAAAAGAGATCAGTCTCCACAGTCCACACAAAAGAAAAAAAGACAGAGAAAGATAGAGTGATGGGGACATTAAAACCCTAAAATTGAATTATGTTTCTCTACCATATGGCTAACAAACAAGCTCACACAGATCACTGTCTTACAAACAAAATGTAGCCGATCAAAACAATCTAGAAATGCATACAGCACAGCTGCGATGTGCTCTGGATGGAAATGGAGTGTTCCAGCAGCCTTTAAATCAATTCAGTTGGACATTATAATGTCCCCTGTGATATATTTCTATTTCTGTATACACAAACCCATTTAGAGCAATGCTAATGTCCTATAAAGATACATGTCAACTGGAAAAACTGATGGTTTCCTCTTTCCCTTCTTTGTCTTTCCCTCCAGAATACCGGCACTCTTTAATTTTTCTTTTTCGTCTCCTCCCCTACTCCGCTGTGCTTTGCCCTGGAGGGAATGTGAATAATTCTGTTGTGGTACTGGTCCTGGCAAGCCGTGGCTGCCAGCGGCTCATCTAATTCAATCACACGGCTCAGTCTGATCAATGGGGACTGTGGTGGAAGCCGGCGTACCTCCGCTCATCTTGGGTCAGGTGGGGATTCACACCACTGGCTTTTTCTTCTCTAATTAACCCAGACATGACAGCCAACAACTGTGAGGGCAACAACTCTACTGACAGTGGTCTGTATGTTTGCGTGCCTCTAAGCGATAGCAACTCAAAGATCGAAGTGTGTCAAAACATACCTTGTTAATATGTGCTGAGGTGAAACATCACTTTCAGGTTTCAGAAAGTCAATCACTATGTTTAGAACACAATACTACCATATTTCTGCAGTATGCATCATGAATACTATGCACAGAGTATTAAGGATGCACAAAAGGCAACATCGGTTATCAGTTTTATTAGTATTTAAATATATTTTTACTGATTTATTTATTTATTTAAGATTTATTAAGATACATTTTGACATCATTAAAGGGCTCATTTAAAGGGATATCTTGGGGTCAATACGATGTTTTTTTTGTTTATTTTGCAAGGATGCGTTAAATTGATCAAAAGTGACAATAAAGACATTCATAAATTTGGTAAATTTCTTTTCAAATAATTGCTGCTCTTTTCAGCTTCCTATTCATCAAAGAATCCTGATTTTTTTTTAACAGTTTCCACAAAAATATCAAGCAGCAAAAACTGTTTTCGACATTAATAATAATAAGAAATGTTTCTTGAGCAGCAAATCAACATCAGAATGATTTCTGAAGGATCATGTGACACTGAAGATTGGAGTAATGCTACTGAAAATCCAGCTTTGTCATCACAGAAATAAATTAAATTTGAAATTTAAAAAAATTTAAAATAGCTATTTTAAATTGTAATACTATTTCACAATTTTGGGGTTTACTGTATTTTTAATCAAATAAATGCAGCCTTGGTGAACATAAGAGACCTCTTTGAAAAACACTAAAACAAAAATAAAAAGTGTATAATTCACACTTTTGAACTATCGTGTACACTGCAAAGAAATATGTAATTAATCAATATTTTTTTCTCTTGTTTTGCAGTAAAATGATCAAAATAAATTCTAAAACAATCCTAAATTTACTTGCAAAGCGAAACTGTGTAAGATAATAATAATTTTTTCAGAGATCATACATTGAATGCTTAAAATAATTGAAAATTATGGGTAAAGAAAAATACGCCAATGTGGGTAAATATATTAAATCCAAATATGTAAGAAAACAAGCA